AGTCCATCATATATAGGTGCATTAATTCTTCTTCTTATATGCCATAATCCTTCAGGGTGTAGGCGATCATTGTTCTCCACAATTTCCTGCCCTTTGTAGCCCCTTCCAAATGTTGTCTTTTTGCTATATCTCCTAAAACCTGTTCTGCCGTCCATGTGCACATGCTCGCTATGTAGGTTTATGCGCTCTTTTCCTGTGTTCATCTTGCCTTCAATATGTCCTGTGAGTGTCAAATTCTCAAAGCCCACTTTCCTAATTATGTTTCGTAGAAATTTCAACTATGTGTCCATTTTTATTCTCTTTTTTCTAAAACTTCGTCAGTATTTAATATTCTCAGCATCCTTCTTTTCTTTATCCGTGAGGATGTCATGGGTCCTTACCTATAACTACAGAATGAACTCTTCCTAACACCATGTATACTACGCCTCTCGAGTCGAGCCGATAGTAGTTCACTCCAAACCAGACTGACAGTCATGCTCCTTCCACATCTTCTATTATTATTTCGTGTAATATACCTTCGTTATTTCTACTTTTGTGTTCGTGTTGTTCTTCCTTGGTCCTAACCTGGACCATAACAGAGGAATTGTCAAGAATTCACTGCCATATAAGAAGACAGATATCGCATAACAGTTCAGCACTATTTTCTTCGTTTCTAACGAAATTTTCCTGTTTCTTAACACTTTGCTTAGCTTTTGAAAGGCGTCTTTCGTTATCCCAATGTGCCCTCGAATTTCGGTGTTGCACTTTCTTTGAAGAAAATAGTAAATTTCCACCATAAATTCAGAGAAATTACAGCGCAGTGTTGGTTGATGTTTTTGTTTTTTCATCGCATCCTGACATTTTTTTATCATTTCACCCAAGCGAGGCGGGAATGTTACTAGTAATCAGCCGGTACAGAGAGTGAAGGAGAGAAAACACGATTGTGTATAGAGAAGACCGAGGAAAGGATAAAAGCTGAACAGGGTCCAACAAGATAGAAGATGGCGATTGTCGTTGCATTTAAATATTTGAATATTGTAGGTATCAGATAAGCAAGGAAATAGAACATTTTCTGGTGTGTGTTATGTCGCAGATAATTAGAAATTAAATTTAATTGATCTTTACTGGATAGAAAAATTTAATCTATTTGAAATTCCTCTCAAATGGTTTTGCCACACGTTGGGTTCTGATATTGAAAATCATTTCACGGATGAACTTAAACATAAGTTCAGTGACGTTTTCAAGATGGATTTGGGTGTTGTACAAAAATTAAAGCTACTTAATTAAAACCAGATTCTAAGCCAGTTTTTAGTAAAAAAAATGCCAGTACACCATGCTACCCTGACTATGGTTGAAAAATAACTGAAACGTCTTCAGCAAGAAATTAATTACTCCTTGTGGGTAGCTCCTATTGTAGTTGTTAAAAAGGCAAATGGAAAAGTCGGGATATGTGCTGATTACTCGACCGGTTTGAATGATTCTTTGGATGCTCATCATTATCCACTTCCTGTCGAAGGATCTTTTCACAAAACTCAACAGCGGAATTTGCTTTGCAAAGGTTGATGATTTTCTTCAACTGGAAGTTGAAGCAGAGTCCAAAGAGTTCCCTACTATCAACATCTACAAGGGATTATTCAGATTTAACCATCTTAATTTCAGTGTCAAACTAGCACCAGTCATTTTCCAACATACAATGGACGCCATGCTGACCGGATTGACAGGAGTTGCAGCATTCATTGATGACATCATCGTTGCAGGAAAAAATCAAGATGAACTTTTGCAACGTTTATCTTCTATTTTCAGCCGAATTCAACAATACGGGTTCCGTGTTAAAGCTGAAAAGTGTGCATTTTTCTAAGAACAAATCAAATATCTTCGGTTTGTTTCCCACAAAAATAGTAGATAGCAACATCCGGAAAATATTTCAGCAATAAAAAAAAACAAAAAAAAAACATGCCAGCACCAAGAAATGTAACAAAATTACGTTCTTTCCTTGGCTTGGTTAGTCACTACAGTGCCTTTTTTTTTTCCTGAACTTTATCAAGTTCGTGCACCCCTCAACAATCTGTTGCATGGGAGTGGTCTGACGCGTGTCAGGTAACCTTTAAAAAAGTAAGGTCTTTACTTTCTTCAAATCTTTTGCTGACACACTACAACCCATCAATGGATATTGTGGTGTTTTCTGATGCTTCCAATTATGATATTGGAGATGTCATTTCTCACATTTTTTCTCTGATGGCAGCCAAAAGGCAATAGCTCATGCATCCAGATCACTGACACCAGAAAAGCGTAGTTATAGCCAAATTAAAAAATAAGCATTAGCAATAGACTTTGCTATTAAAAAGTTCCACAAAATGCTGTATGGACGTTATTTCATTCAGACTACAGATCACAAGCCTCTTGTTATAATTTTTTATATCTAAAAAAGGAATCCCAGTGTATACAGCAAACCGTCTGCAAAGATGAGCTACTATGCTGTTCAATTATAATTTGTCTATAATATATAATTCAACAAATACAACTGGTCATGCTGATGCATTATCTAGGCTCATGACTACCCAAAATAAAGTACCAGAACGCTCAGTCATCGCAGAAATATATCTAGATCCAGAAGTTACTCCAGTGTTTGCATCCAATGTAAGAGAATTACGAGTCACTCCTACAATGATCCGTGAACCCACAGATTCTCATCCAGTGTTAAAAACGTCGTATGCTTTCATCGTATAAAATGGCCAGAATTATGCACTGACAAAAGCTATTCTTTCAGCGTCGATCTTCATTTTCAGAAGTCGACGGCTGTCTTCTTTTTGTGCAATGCGTGATTGTCCCATCCTCATGACATGAAAGAGTGATGAAGCAATTCCATTATGGTCATCAAGGTATTATATGAAATCCCTAGCACGCAGCTATATTTATTGGCCAAATATGAACAAGCAGTTGGAGGTATTGGTACGCATATGTTCCAATTACCAATTGGCAGCAAAATCGCCTAGGAAAACTCCACTCAATTCCAGGCTTATCCCTGAATCACCCTGGTCACGCTTTCACATTGACTTTGTTGGTCCCATCAAGGGGCAGTATTATTTTATCTTCGTCGATGCTTACAGCAAATGGTCAGAAAATTTTCAGATGATTCGCATTACCTGGGATGAAACAATTCTTAAGTTAAAACAAATCTTCAGTCGATTTGGAGTCCCACAGATACTAGTTTCGGATAATGGTACTGCATTCACTTCAGCTACATTTCTAACTTTCTGTGCACAGAATGGTATTCAACACATTAGGACACTACCTTTTCATCCACAATCAAATGGATACAAGATACATTTAAGGGGCACACAAGAAATATTTTTCCGTAGATTGCATTTAAGAGAGCACTGATGATACATTTAAGAGAGTACTCTTCAAACTCAAAGGGAAGGGAACCACACAAGAAATATTAGAAATATTCCGTAGAAGTTACGGAGCTACACCCAATCCAAATGCACCTAATGGAAATTCACCAGCAGAGGCACTGATGAACGGCAAAGTTCGTTTACTCGTAGATGTACATCTAACTAGAAAATATTCCCTAAAAAGGAACACGATGATTGAAGAACAATTTAACCGCCATCTTGGAGAAGTGAAACGCAAATATGTACCAGGACAATCTTTACTTGCAAAAGATTACCACAACGGTAAGGAAAAATGGATCTAAGGACGCATTATACGTCACTCCGGAAATGTTACGTATGACGTGGATATACAGTTTTTAGTGTCTTGGTTCGACATGCAAACCAGTTAAAAACTAATTCATTTATTTAATTATTAATTCGTTAGCTAATTATCCAATTCAGTTTGATATTAATTCAAGAGTATTAATCCACTTCTACATTAATTATTAATTTAATTCAAAATTAATTATTAATTTAATTCAAAATTAATTATTAATTTAATTCAAAATTAATTATTAATATAGTTGTTATGAATAATCAAGAGTCGTCTCTCCTTGTTTTGTTACTCTTCTCTTTGAGAGAGCTGTTTACTGGGACTATAAAAGGACATTATACGCGAACCTTTTATTCTCAGTTGAATAAAGCTTCCTTAAAGCCTACACCTGCGTACTTTGATCATTACAATAATATTAATTTTTTCGTTATATTAATTATTATTTCAATAGATTAATTAAGAATTCATTAATATTAATTTTTAATTTAATTCGTTAACATTAATTATTAGATTCAATTTGAACAAGTTAATATTAGTTATTTCATTTCAAGTTAATATCTATGTTTAATTTATTATTTAACAATTTAATATCATGTAATAATTCAATTCATGTTAATATATAATACTAGTTCAATGTATAATGAGTTAATTTTAAATAATTAATTTAAGTTTTAAATTATTAATTTAATTCAATTTTATGCAACTTAATTGTCTGAAAATAAACTCAATGCTGCTAATTTGTTTTTCTAATTATTGGATGTTGCAAAATAAGTCAATATCTTTTGTTAGGAGTCAATATGTAGAAGATCCGAATTTCAAACTCTAATCTGATGTCATCATCCTCAATTATTGATACTCTTGTTAAATCGCTATTTTAGAAAGGAGTGAAGTAGTCTTTGATTTATGAAGAAATAATTGTCGATTTAAAAAGGAGAAAAAAAAACCCCTCGAAGGCATTCTCTTAATTAAACGAGCCAATGGCATTTTTTGCGGCAAAAGACAAGAACATGATTCATCTGGCAATTATTATTTTTTTTTTCTAGCAGAAAAGATGAAGAAACAAAAATTCACACTGAAGGATTTTAGTGCTGATTTTTATTTATAGAAAAACTAAGCCCAGATACAAATGAGCGTGTTGAAAGATTGTTTTATTTAGGTAAATTTAGGTCGTTTACATTAATCTCTCTTAATATATATATATATGTATGTATATATATATATATATATATATATATATATATATATATATATATATATATATATATATATATATAGTGTGTGTGTGAAAAGAGTCAAGGAGATTTGAAAAGTACAAGATAGATAATATGAAATGTGTGAGAAAGAAAGATATATAAAAAATGAGATAGGTAGATATGAAAAGTGTGAGATAAATGTGAGATAGATATGAAAATAGTAAGATAGATTTGAAAAGATCTGAGATAGATAGATAGATAGATAGATAGATAGATAGATAGATAGATAGATATGAAAGAATGAAGTAGAAACAAAGGGGCATATACATGAACAAAGATAAATGAATGCAAGTTTCGTTAGATACGAAGATACGAAAATGATAAGGTTTGGTTTGTTTTACGGTATATCAATCTCAACAGGTTATTTAATGCCGATAAGATTTTTATTGCTGGTAGATTTTTTTTTTAAATTGTATTGTTGATAATAGTTTTTTTATTTCAAAAATGTATTGCTAGTAATATTTTTTTCAAAAATGTATTGCTGGTAATATATTTTTTTTCAAAACTATTACTGGTAAAAAAATTTTCACAAAAAAGTATTGCTGGTATTAAAACCTATTTTTATACTTTCATAATGTTTTGACCTCTGTTGAGGGGTTAACTATTCGCCCATAGCTGGGACCCTGACAGGTGCTACCACCTGTCAAAGTGGACCTGGGAACAGCAATTAATAGGTAGTCCCACGCTCCTCAAAACCTCCTGATCAAAGACCTTGCTGTCGGATGTAGTTTATCGTCTTACCCAGGACGGGTAAAGTATAAGTTTGATTTGAAAAGTGCGAGATATGAATAAATGAGATAGATAGATTTTTGCAATTCAAGTCCTTAATTTTAGAGTTAAGGTAGTTGATTTAAGATATGGCTACTATTATTTACTGTCCTATGAGTATTTGCATCAAAACAAAGCTTTGTAGTCAATAGGTGTAAATTCCTGAAGAAAAGCCTAATATTTACATTTGTTGAACATTATCTGTCCAACTTCAATAGACACCATCAAACTTCTGGTACTGCCGAAAATTGAAAGAATTGAAAGATCAAACTTCTGGAAGTGCCAAAAATTGAAAGAATTGAAAGATCAAACTTCTGGAAGTGCCGAAAATTGAAAGAATTGAAAGATCAAACTTCTGGCACTGTCGAAAATTTGAAAGAATTGAAAGATCAAATTTCTGGAAGTGCCAAAAATTGAAAGAATTGAAAGATCAAATTTCTGGAAGTGCCAAAAATTGGAAGAATTGAAAGATCAAACTTCTGGAAGTGCCTAAAATTGAAAGAATTGAAAGATCAAGAAAAATTGAAAGAATTGAAAGATCAAACTTCTGGCACTGTCGAAAAAAGAATTGAAAGACCAAATTTCTGAAAGAAAGATCAAACTTCTGGTAGTGCCGAAAATTGAAAGAATTGAAAGACCAAACTTCTAGTAGTGCCTAAAATTGAAAGAATTGAAAGATCAAACTTCTGGAAGTGCCAAAAATTGTAAGAATTGAAAGATCAAACTTTTGGAAGTGCCAAAAATTGAAAGAATTGAAAGATCAAATTTCTGGAAGTGCCGAAAATTGAAAGAATTGAAAGATCAAATTTCTGGAAGTGCCAAAAATTGGAAGAATTGAAAGATCAAACTTCTGGAAGTGCCAAAATTGAAGAATTGAAAGATCAAAAGTGCCAAAATTGAAAGAATTGAAAGATCAAACTTCTAGCACTGTCGAAAATTTGAAAGAATTGAAAGACCAAATTTCTGGAAGTAAAATTGGAAGAATTGAAAATCAAACTTCTGAAAAATTGAAAGAATTGAAAGACCAAACTTCTAGTAGTGCCTAAAATTGAAAGAATTGAAAGATCAAACTTCTGGAAAAAATTGTAAAATTGAAAGATCAAACTTTTGGAAGTGCCAAAATTGAAAGAATTGAAAGATCAAATTTCTGGAAGTGCCGAAAATTGAAAAGAATTGAAAGATCAGACTTCTGGCGCTGCCGAAAATTTGAAGAATTGAAAGATCAAACTTCTGGAAGTGCCAAAAATTGTAAGAATTGAAAAATCAAACTTTTGGAAGTGCCAAAAATTGAAAGAATTGAAAGATCAAATTTCTGGAAGTGCCGAAAATTGAAAGAATTGAAAGATCAGACTTCTGGCGCTGCCGAAAATTTGAAAGAATTGAAAGATCAAACTTCTAAAAGTGCCAAAAATTGGAAGAATTGAAAGATCAAACTTCTGGAAGTGCCGAAAATTGAAAGAATTGAAAGATCAAACTTCTGCAAGTGCCGAAAATTGAAAGAATTGAAAGATCAAACTTTTGGTACTGCCGAAAATTTGAAAGAATTGAAAGATCAAACTTCTGGTAGTGCCAAAATTTGAAAGAATTGAAGATCAAACTTCTGGAAGTGCCAAAATTGAAGAATTGAAAGATCAAACTTTTGAAAGTGCCAAAAATTGAAGAATTGAAAGATCAAATTTCTGGAAGTGCCGAAAATTGAAAGAATTGAATGAAGACTTCTGGCGCTGCCGAAAATTTGAAAGAATTGAAAGATCAAACTTCTAAAAGTGCCAAAAATTGGAAGAATTGAAAGATCAAACTTCTGGAAGTGCCAAAATTGGAAGAATTGAAAGATCAAACTTTGAAAGAATTGAAAGATCAAACTTCTGCAAGTGCCGAAAATTGAAAGAATTGAAAGATCAAACTTTTGGTACTGCCGAAAATTTGAAAGAATTGAAAGATCAAACTTCTGGTAGTGCCAAAATTTGAAAGAATTGAAAGATCAAACTTCTGGAAGTGCCAAAAATTGTAAGAATTGAAAGATCAAACTTTTGAAAGTGCCAAAAATTGGAAGAATTGAAAGATCAAATTTCTGGAAGTGCCGAAAATTGAAAGAATTGAAAGATCAGACTTCTGGCGCTGCCTAAAATTTGAAAGAATTGAAAGATCAAACTTCTAAAAGTGCCAAAAATTGGAAGATTTGAAAGATCAAACTTCTGGAAGTGCCAAAAATTGAAAGAATTGAAAGATCAAACTTCTGGAAGTGCCGAAAATTGAAAGAATTGAAAGATCAAACTTTTGGTACTGCCGAAAATTTGAAAGAATTGAAAGATCAAACTTCTGGTAGTGCCAAAATTTGAAAGAATTGAAAGATCAAACTTCTGGAAGTGCCGAAAATTGAAAGAATTGAAAGATCAATGTTTTTCACCTGAAGCTGCTGTGTACAAATGATTAAAGAAACCATAAATTTCATTCATGGATAGAATGAAAAAGTGATTTGAACATGTGATGACTATATTGAAAAATGAATGTATAGTTTTGAAGAGAAATAAATTTCTTTCTTTAAGCAATTCTCACGTTTTCACGCATGTCTCGCAAACTCAATTCGATTGAATTTATTTTGTTTTTCTTTTTGTTAATTTGAATTTATAACGTATATAATGTGGCTTAGTCACTGTTTCATTTGTTTCGCAAGAGTGATCAAGGATTGTAAAAGCTTTCCGAAATATATGGCTTATCAACCCTTTGCAGATTATTTAAAGCAAAAAAAAAGAAATATTTTTAGGTGTAAGATTTTTTTTAGATAATAACGTTTTAGCGATAAAAGTCTTACTAATTAAAAGTCTTACTAATTAAACCAAAACTGGGGGAGAGAGTCGGTGAATTCATAGCTTTTCCAAGTGTATTTGCACGTAAGCGAATATAACAAATCCAGCTGGAATTTGAAATCGGCTGTTCGATTCACAATTCCGAGCCTATTACACCACCCACACTTCCAAGCTTACAACATCTGGTATTCATCAACATAATGACCATGCTCGACGTTGCTTAACTTCGCTGATCGTACGAGAACCGGTGTTTCAACGTGATATAACCGCAAGCCTTAGAAAACTTTAGAAATCGTCTACAACAGTGTATAGCGAATAGAGACCACCATTTGGAGGAAGTCATTTTCAAAACAAAATAAATAAAAATTGTAGCCCTTTTTTGTATATAACAGTGAAATAATGTTTTTAATAACAGTTATCTTAGTCTTTTTGTTAATCCTTAAAATATGGGAGGTATTTCTGCCACATCCAGTATATGGCGGAAATATTACATGCCTTAAAATTCATGACTTTTTAGATCTTTTTAGAATATAGTTTAAATAAGATTCATTTTAAATTCAGTCAACGAAACAAAATTTTATGTTTTTTTATTGTGCCATCTTGCATTGACGCTGGAAAAAAAAAACAAATAAAAAATAAAATAAAAGTTGCGAACTACAGTGACTTGGTTGTAAATCAGCTAAAATGTTTGCTGTGGTAGATTTTATCAGCTTTTAGACAAGAAGGTTGAAAAATCATTTCCGGTTTTCAAATTTTCACACTTTTCTTTCGTAGGTTTTATTTGGGTGAGACGGCCATCAAATGTATTTTAACAGATAAATTACATTACTTTCAAAATACAGTCATTTCGACGCATTCTTTTATCTTAAAGATGCGTATGGAATCTGAAATATATCAATCGGTGATGTCGGGTAGTGTAACGGATATCGGTGCGATAAATGAAATCGACGATCCGAGTTCCAACTCAGGCCTAGTCTAATGCATTTATTTTCGTCCAAATGCCCTTGGATAAAGCCTGAATCCACCTGTTCTTCCTTCAGCTATGGGCTAAATAACAGGGTAGCCTGTTTTTTCTAGCCTTGGATATCCTCCGGTAACTGTTCTTATTTGTCTTTACCTGGCATCTCAACTTCAGTCAATATCCCATCGCCATAATGTGGCTTCCCTCTGCTTTTTCTATAAATACTTTCATGGTAAATGGTCTGATAAATTTTCCTATATAGCACCTAGACTCTATGAATTTATTAGCATTACTAGATTGGCAGATAGGTCTCATCATTTTACAGTTTAAATTGCTAGATGTAAGATATGTGTGTCGATGATAATCCCGAATCTTAAAATTCGGAATTTCAAATCCCGTAATTTGAAATCCCGAATTTATAAAAACGAATCTGAAATGTCAGAATTCCGAAATTTAAAATCTTAAAAGATCAGAAGTTTGATACAGTCAAGATTTCAATTTTCGGGATTTTAAATTTCAGGATTTCGACATTCGTGATTTTAAGATTCGGGATTATAACCCAAACCCGTAAGTTCTAAACTAAGAGTTTCTTTTCTCGCACTTCTCGATTTTGGAACTCTCTTCCGACTTCTTACTTTCCTGTTGTTATAAATGAACACACCTATTCTATAGTTAATAGCCTATAGTTAATAGACTCTCCCACCTATAATAAGTAGGAGTAGTAGTA